TAAATAAATAAATAAATAAATAAATAATAAAGTCTTGCTACAAAAATGGCAAATGCGAACTAAAAGTTTTTATATCTATCCTGAGATATTTACTGCTGGAAACTAAGGATTAAAAGAAAACGAAAAGAAGTCTAAATTGTTTAAAACACTGATGATTAGTCTTAGTACAGCAATTAGTCTTTAAAATCAGGTAAGATGAATTAGAAAGCAATGGAATCAGCAACAGTGTCTTAATAGTAAAAAATAAATAGTAAAAAAATAATTAGTAAATAATATAAAACCAACTTAGTTGCGTATCATTACTTTAAAAGGAAAAGGAAACCAAATTCTAATGCTTCTAATGTTTCCTTCAAATGAAATAAACACAACCAAAGAGAGACAGATATATAATCCCAAAGGGGAAAAAAACGGAAATGTCAAATTTGGGAAGATATAAAGTTCATCACTTTTCACAAGTAAGACCCTGCAGTGACATAGTCCACAGGCACGAACTTGGCTCCTGCTCTGTCCTCTTGCTGCTCTCACCAGACCTGTACTGACAGCACTCAGGACTTCCCAGTAACAACTCTTGTGCATCAGTCTCATACGAGCTCCACTGCCCTACCTCCCATAACCATGCACCCCACCACCACCACCACACTCCTACCACTTCCCTGGGAATGCCTGGAGTCTGGGGTTGCCTTTGAGTTGGCTCTGGCTCTGCCTACAACCAATCCTCTCAAATTTATGCTCTCTCTGCCCCACAGCTGGTGATTAAATTGTGCCATTACTCCAGTGAACATACTGGCCTACTAATGACTCAGAGCCCACTTGTCTAATCCATCTTTCATCACTTGCTCTTCTCCCAAATCACTTTTCTCAGTCTTCACTTCTTCCCAATGTCACACCCCTGCCTTTGCAACCTGGGGCGTTCCCATCCATCCCACCTTGAAGATTCCGACTACATGTCACCTCTTCTAATAGACTCCCCTCACTCATTCAGGCAGAGGTGTCATCTCCTCTCTGCACCTTCTGACAGCCCTGAATGCGCTTTATTCTGCTAGAGAAATTGTGGCTGATACTTTAGTTGTCCAGATGGGACTCTCTAGGCCCCAAATGTGAAACTCCTTTGGGGCAGAAACAGTACTTTTTAGCCTTATATTCCAAGCATGTGTACACAATGTCCGACAAACTAGGTGTTGAGTGAATGCTTCCTGGTTGACTGAATGAATAAATAAATGAAAGAAATTTAGCAGCTCTTAGCTGCTTAAAAAACATAAGACACTCAATTTTAAAGAAAAAATTTTCAAACTGAAAGAAAATATAACCACGAAATTATATTTCTTGGAGAAAAGACACATAAAACAAGACAAATATAACTAAAAAGTAAACTAGAGAATATTTCCACCTGAAAAGGTCAACTGTCATTTGTGTTCCAATGAAAGGGATCAAGGAAAATGCAACACAACTCCAGACAAAGGCAATTCAGGGCTTACAGGGAATTGCATATGCTTTAATCAGGAATAAAAATATTATTAAAATTTTGCTTGAATTTTATGCCACAAACAGCAAAACAAGTAACTGCGCTGTAAAAAAAAAAAATACGGTGTTCCTACTACTAACTCCCATGGAACCATAAAGGAATTATTCACTAATAACTTAAAGATAAAAAGATTTTAAAGTTATACAGACCTTGATATAATTGACGTCAAATGACCTCTCATTCCAAATCTGCAGAACAGAAAGTCAAAAAGTCAGAATGGAAAGTTCTGTGTCAGAAAGTGAACATTATCATTAAGATGCCTCTTCTTTCACCATCTTTCATATCATCTGAAAAGCCACTTTTCTTACCTTACAGAATTTCCTGTTATTAAATTTATAGATATTTATAAGACAACACAATTTTAATTAAAAGATTATTTTTAAAAACCTTAAAATATTTGGTGGGTAGTTTTCAAAAAGCTACTTATTTCAGAGATTTCTAAAAATGAAATATCCATTCAATCATTCAACAAAGATTGACAAGGCAGTGTGTGCCAGGGGCTACAGCAGGCACTGAATAGTTAACAGACACAGAATAGTTAGCAAAGTACCACAGAGCCAAATTACTTTTTAAAAATTTCAAATAAATGTCCAAAAGTTAATCATGTTCTAAATATATTACTAACCCCAATATAATCGATGTCCAGGTCATGATAATGCTTGGCACCCACAATCCAGGTCACGACATAGTAGGCAGTCAGCTGACAATTTACATAAGGCCAGTTGAAACCTTTCCCCAGCCATCCTGGGAAGGACCACGGGAGCCCTGCAGAAAGGAAGAGGCAAAGCTGGAGTGGGTAGAACAGTGCTGGCACTATTAGAAACAAAGGAAAATAAGCCAAAAGGAATGAACACAGGCTAAGCCAAAAGCCAGTACAGATCTGACTAAAGGAAAGACTGTAAACCATGCACAAATTCTCAAATTCTCTCCCAGTCTATGAACACAGCAACTCCTGATTGATCCCTAGAGTCAGGTTCCACAATTCCAAATGCTCTTTCAAGAAAAATACATAAATAAAAACAAACAGCAACAAAAACAAACACCTCCCCAATAATACTCACTTACCAATAAAAGGAAATGTAACATACAATGTAACTTAACCACCCCACCTCCTGCTAAAAGGATGTTCAATATTCACTTTCTGTGCTCTAAGGTCAAATCAAAGTTTTAAAAGGCTTATGCTTAACTACTTCGAGGAGGTAAGTATAATACAAATTCTTCTTTCACTAGCGCATCATCTTACAACTTGAGGCTACTTAAAATGCTCATCAGTCAGGTTATCAAAGTTAGCAAAATAAACGCCAATGACTCAATAGGGAAACATACATTATATGATATAGAACCACATCCACATTCTCATAATGCCCTAGTTATTATTTTTAAGTTTAAAAAACTAAGGAGAATAGAGAAGTACTAATTAGAACCCTAGTTCTGTTACAAATATATTAAAATGAGTTCAACATTAAATTCCTTAACTGTTAACATATATTACCAATCTAGTTCACCACTGAAAAAAGTACAAAATCAAAATGACAAAATTATTTTTCTAAACTCAGGAGGAATGCCTAAGTGTTTCTACATAAGAAATGTGACATTAAAATAATGGAAACTTTTAAAACAATGAAATGTCAAATACATTCTGAAGGCCTACCATGTGTAAGTGTCTGTCAGGACGGGGCTCAGCATGCCAGATTTTCTGCATTTAAAATAAGAACTGACCTGGACAACTGCACAGTGGGCGAGTATGTGCTGAAGTCAATGATGCTTTTGATTGCTCAAAACAGTTCAGGAATCTCTTACAAAAGTCCATTTAGAAAGAACACACTGACCCCTCATTTTTTTTTTTAATTTAGAAAAACTCAAGCTTGCCTTTTAAGTTAATGATTGAAAATGACTTTTAAAATAACTTGAAATCAAGTCTATAGAATGAATCTCATTAATCTCACTTTAACTTGGGCTGACTGTGTAAACTTGTCTGAAAAAAAATCAGATCAGATTTCAAAATCTCATTTTTCAAAAAAAAAACTCATCAGATTTCAAATGATGAGAGTATGCCACCACTGTGTGTGTCTGAAATCTTTAACAGATGTGTATGCTGCTACAGGAGAGCAGTGAAAGGAATGCAGTCCCATTTGAGAAACCATCCAGTGATTCTGCCACTGGAACCTAAGTTCCAAGAGGGCAGGAATTGGGGCTGAATCGTTCCACATCCCCAGTGCCTAGAACAGTGACCACCACATCCTTGAGGTTCGAAACAAATCAACAAACAAACACTTTCATATGTACTGCTTCTAGAATCGGGGTCTACTACTGCAGGTAACATACAATTTTGCAAATAGTTGGGATACACTACTGCATATACCATACACTTTTATAAGTAGAATTGCTCTTTTAACAAATTTTGATAAGAAATTTTGTTGAGAAAATTAGTTTAGCATCACACACCCAAAAACTAGAATAGAATTAGGTTCTAAATCTGATTTTGCCATTTACTAATTCTCCGACCTCATGTCAGTGGTATAACCTCTCTAAGCCTCCACTGCTGCAGCAAAATGGCACAAGAAATGCCTTACTCCAGAGGTATGATAAAGATCAGACATAATATACATGAACAAAGACAGAATCATGCCTGGCACATGCTTTGCTTCTGGTACCGCAATGGTAGTATTAATAGCATTACTAGTGCTTCAGGATTAATAGACACTCCACATACATGATTCAGAATTTAAAAGTTAAAGGAAAACAGACTGCAAAAGTGTAGCAAACATCACTTCTTACCCATGAGTGTAATATTAGAGTTCCGCTTCTTCGCTTCCTTCATTAACCACCACTCGTATCCTCGGAAATAATCCTCATCTAATGCATAGTGCATGTGGGAGGGCTCGGTGCCATCTGAATGGGAGACAGCAAAAGAGAAAGCAAACTATCATTGGAGCATCGGAGGACCACCCTCCCCCACGCACATCCACACATTTCACGGAAGTCGTGTTCCAGATCCAATCCTAAAGTAGGGCAAATAAGAATAATCTTAAATAACTTGAGGATGGATGATCAAAGCATATTATTTCATCTTTCATTACCCTAAGCATCATAAAGGTCTTAAATAACAAAACTACAACTTTCTATTACAAGCAGTGTTAAGAGAAATGTGATCAACTCATACACTTGAAAATTCCTAGGACTACATTCTGTCGGGATTTAGTCTCACTGGGGTTTTCAAATCCCCGTGTCCAGCTTTAAGTTCAGATCACCTCAGCTTCCAGCTTCTAAATCCTAGATGTGAATCCTGGGCTCCTAAGCCCCAGTTCCCATACCCTATGCCTTGAGCCTATAACGTACCTTGTTATATCAAGACAACAGAGTTTTGAGAAAAAAGGAATAAATACACACTCCCACTGTAAGAAAATTCTATACTAACCTCCACAGGGTGCCAAGGTAGGTAACTGACGTCAGTCCCCACGTGTTACCACATTTCACAAACTTCTGCCCTTGTTAAGAAGGGCCTCACAAGGAGAGGGGCCCTAGCCCTCTTCTTAAAGGTAAACGTCAGAATTTCTAAGAACTCCCTGCTTCTGTTTCTCTACCTCTAATTTAGCTTCAGCAAATGAAGATGACCAGTCATTATCAATTCTGCATAAAAGTTTGACAATAAAATGTATGACTTCTTATAATAGCTTGGGGATAGTTTTTGTTATGGGGTTTTGTTTTGTTTTTGATTTGAATTTTTCTTTCAGTGTAAATTAAATACCAGTACCACTATACAGACATATCTAGTGACTTGCAAGTCACTAACAGAACACAGGCATACAGATAATACTCTAAAGTTCACTATAATGGAATCTGGCCTATAAATAACAAATCATGTACAATCATTGAGAGAATTTTCTTCTTCCTGAAAACTAGAGGCCCATCAATTTTGAATTGACTCCACAAAGCCAATCAAAATGATGACAATGAAGACTGAAAATTTAGTGGTTAAAAATAATTTTATTTTTAAAAGACAAAAAAGCTATATCTCTGAAATACTGATTACTTATATTTTTGTCACATATTTTATTTAAAGCGAGTAACACCTTACATGTTTTATACATTAAATGCTTTCTTTTTTTACCTTCTCAGTAAAATTCCAAACTGTCCCTAAATGATGTCTAGTGAGGATTTGTTCATAAAAAATTGCAGATGTGTTTACTACTGATTACTTCAACTAAATAGGTAATCTAAAGTCCAAATCCTGTTTTGTATAGAAAAATGAATATTTTGACATAATATGTTAATAATTAGAATGAAAAAGGAACAATAAGGAATAATCTAAACAAAAATCAAAATCAAAAGTGCCGGTATCATTTATATACTGAAACCACAGTCCATAAGTTAAGGTACAGATTCAAAGGTTGGGGGAGAAACAATCCCGTTCCCCGAATACTCCTACCTGTTGTCTGCCCATCACCACCTATTTCAACTTTTAGAATATGCAAAGAGGCACCGAAGTTCGGCTGGGGAAAGAAGTAACAGTATTAACACTGTGATTCATTGTATGAAGGACAAAACACTTCAAGACAATTGCTAATCACTGCCTTTGGTTTTACAGATGAGAAAACCAAAGCAAAACTTCAAATAAATAGTAACTTATTCCAAAAGTAGTTTGTCAATTTTTTAAAGACCAGAATGCTGAAGGTGATTGAGGTCTATTGGTGAAATTCACCACAGTTTCTAAAAAAAATCACAGGTACCATTAAATAATTATTTTTTCTTTACCTTAAAGAGATAATCCAATATTTGAGAACGATAGGGCTCTGGGTAATTTACTAGAAGTCGAGAGGTTGCCTAAAAAAAAAAAGTTTTCAAAAGAATGAATAAAACAAATCCAATCATGAATGCTTTTTCACAGTGCTTATGCACACCATCTAGCATGCCCATACTCAGCCAGCTCTTGGGCAGAGCTGAGCTGTGGAAAGTCATTTCCCAGGTTATTTGTTTGTCTGCCTTTGTTTTGCGCATTTTTGGGCAAACAGGGCTGTTGTTTGTCCAACGGCTAAAACATGGGTTCCAAGCAACAACCAAGTTACTCCTCTACTGAGATGAGGGTTGGCTGGGAGGTAAGCTTGCTAAGACTATTGATGAATCTCATGATTACAAGTTGATCTTAAGGACCTTGACCCAGATAGTGGTTATTAGAGGAAATGAAACTTAGCTTCTCTATGTTAAGGCTGTTTGTCAAATACAGCATCTTGAAGGATGGCAAGGATATTCATTAATGTCAGGTAATTTCCCCCCTCAGCATCTTGAAGGGAAGTATTGCAGTCAGTAATGCTCAAAGAAACCTTCTCTCTCCTCATCCTTATTAGAGCTTTATGGGTGCTATCTGTTGTTATTCACAATGACCACACAACGACCCCCCAGGTCAAGCTGTCCTAAGGAAACCTCACACAAGACTGGCATCAGAATGTATGAACAGGGAGTAATAGAAGAGCCAGGCAACAACACTTGATCACACCCAAACCATGACTGATGACTGCTTGAACAAAGAAATCACCAAAACCAACAACTGACCAATTATGGATACTTTAGGGAGCAATACAGGTAAGGGGAATAAAAGAGATAGGTTTTAATATGACACAATGGCACGTCCCTACGCTTGGAAGCCAGACAAGTTCAAACCACTGACACCTCACCAGGTGCAATGGCAAGGGCCAGACCTGGTGCTCACGGGGCTGCCGTTCAGTGTTACACTCTCATACATGCTACCACTGACGTGCTGGTGGTACCCATGTTCTCTCCCTCACACCCAGACCCTCCCAGCCCCTGGCACTGACGCAGGCCCATGGAGCTACTTCCAGCCACCTCAAGCTCAGCAGAGCCCCAGCCATAGCATTTTCCCCTAAATCTGTTTCCTTCTAATGTATCTGCTATCTTAGTAAAAGAGCATCTGCCCGAATCAAAAACATAGGTCACCCTTTCGCCGAACTTTCCATCCATCTTCAGTCACCAAGACCTCCTTAATCTCTCTCAAATCCACCCACTCATCTTCAAGCCCACTACCTCCATCTAGGCCCTCCTCAATTATTAGAACAGCCTAAACGGTTTCAGGGTCTCCCGCCTGCCTCCCAGCATGCTATCCTCCAAACTACTTACCAGATTAATCTTCCCAAAACACAAATCTAACCATGAAACTACTCTGTTTAAACCTGCCAAGGCCTCCTCTCCCCCAAGAGCTTTCAGGATAAAGTTCAGATTGTTCAGTTTTATACTCAAATCCCTTAATTATTTGGATTCTAACTCTGACATTTTATCCCTTATTACGCTCACACCTTCTATCTAGTTATAGCAAACTAGTTTTCTTTCTTCTGTCTGGAATGCATTCCACACCCTCATTTGGCCAATTCCAATTCATCTTTCACCTTTTGGGTCAAACTCCATCTCTTCAAGGAAGGATCCCTCCTGTTCCTCCCCACTGCAGGAGCCTCTCCTGCGGACTGTGGACTCCCTCGGCACCAGGTGCACATCTCTACCATAACTCTTCTAACCCTGCAGCCTGATCACTGCTTTACTTCCCTGTCTCTCCTCTAAGTTCTTCGAGGACAGGGACTGTGTCTTATTCAAGTTCATAACACGACTTACTCCCTTATTCAGTAAGTATTTAATATCTTTTATGTTATCATTTGTTGCACTGGTACAGGCAATATAATACAGGCTTTGAGTCAGATGGCGCTTGCATCATGATTACGTAAAATGAGCAATGTGACCAAGAGCAAATTATCATAAAGTGGGTTATGTTACTCATTCAGCTGTCCTAAGGCTAAAATAAGAAATACGTAAAGGACTTATCACAGTAGCTGGCACACGGTAAGTTCTCAAGAAATGACAGGCACTGTACACACAAATGGTTTTTTAAAATACAGTCACTGTTTACAGACCAACAGAGGCTCAGATACTGAAGTCGGCACTCTTAAGTGAATGAATGCTGTATGTGCACACTAACCTACCCTTGACCCAAGGTAAACAACGCTTCCTTCCCCACATTATGTTAACAATATATATTATTGTTACAACAGTGTGTTTTGCTGTTTTGGAGTTACTTCATCCTCTATGCTTTCCTATCCTTAACATTGAAAGTGCCAACTTTCAGCAAACACACCACATCATTATGCTATCATAAGCCTATGTCATCCCTAATGCAAAAGCATGAGTCAATGGCAATAATCAGTTAGGAATAGTATAGCAAAACGTTGAAATGTACCATGAAGCAATAACAAATTACCAAATTTCTCATCATGCTCCCTGAATGAGGCCTGGAGCTGTTTACAAGCAGCCCAAGAAGTCTTAGCACAGTAGCAGGAAAACAGTAAGCTCTCAATAAATGGCAGGCATTGTATACCCAAACTGGAACAAGTTTTTCATCTAAAGTCCTTGGGATAACTTCCTCTCCCCTAATCTATGAAACAGAATGATATTAACCAAAATTAATCACGTGGCAGATGCCATCCTATGTGTCTTGACATCTATCCTCACAATGTTCCTACCAGGCAGGTGTCACCATATCTCAGAAAAATACCTGAGATGCAGAAAGGTTAAATAACCTGCCCAAGGCCATACAGTGAATAGGAGGACCTGGAAAAGCTCCCTAGCAATCTGCTCTAAGTCTGCGTGCAACATGCTGCCTTCCATATCAGGTATGAAAATTAAGTGAGGACATTCCAAAATTTACTACCACAAACTATGCTAGGTACCAGGGACTCCAGAAAGAAGTTAAAAATGGTGTGCAAATACAGTGCTGAGTCATTTTCATTCAATCAGCATTTACTGAACTTTTAGGATGAATAATGTGTTTCACATACAGACACTATCATAACAGATAAGAGTTTCCCACTCTGAGTTACAAAACAATTCTTCTCATTTTAATAATTTAAAAACTGAGTTAATAAACATAAAATAACGAAAGGTTTCCATTTTTCAGCAAGTTAAACAATGGATTTAATATCAAAGTAAAGATACTAGGACACATGGGTCCTCATTTTATGAAATACTGGCAATTCCAGGTTTAAACTACAAAAATAAAAAGGAGAAAGGGTGTAGTAAGAAATTAATACATTAGCCCATTAGTCTACTGTTTACCTTGAAATATACAACAGCACCTATGAGTGAGGTTGCAACATTAGGAAATAAAAGTTTAAAAATCAAGAAGAATCAGTTGGGTTAGGGAATAGGTTTTTTATTTCCCCCACTGCAGGTCAGATCTGTGATCAGACTACAGACCAAGTTACCCACTGGCTTTTTCATTCTGTAATGCAAGTGCCTAACTTAAGTTCTGATGGCTGTGGTATCCACTTTTATAATTATGTTTTAGGGTATGTCTATTTAAAAATATTCACCCCAGTCTCTTTGGTAACTTGCAATATTAGAGTATTACTAAGTTAAATGATGGACATTCATTATCTATATAGATCATTTCCAAATAATATAAAATGCTGAAACATTAATTACTGAACATAGGTTTACCTACTTTTGGTTTCTTATTACAGAGAAACTAAAGATATTTAGATCTGTTAGTAAACATGTCCTGTGCTATACTGGAAAACTGTACTACAGAAAAAGAAGCATATGCTTCTAGAAATTATAAAATATATTCATAAATTTGCCAATCTATAGATGCTGGTATAACACAGTTCACAACTGCTTACTTCCTAATCTTCAGTACAAATTAAGGTTTCTAAGAGTTAAGCAATCTCATTAATATATGTAATTAAAAATACTGGAAATAATATGAGAAGCAATTCTACGCAATGAAAGCAGGATGCATTTTGGGTAAGAAAACGTATGAGGTATGGAGATATATTTTTGTTAATGGAAATTAAAGTAATTTTGCCCGAAAGTAGGCAAGATGAGTGGGTATAGAAAGCTGGGAAAAGAAAGGGGGAGAGAGAATTTTACTTTGTGTAGTCAACCTAGTTGAAATAAATTTATCATAAGGAGCTCTTAAAATAAATTTTAATAAATAGTGTACTTATGTAAAACTAAAACTTAATCTTCTTTCAACTGCTAAAAAGAAATTTTTATTGGACTATTGGTATATCTTGATAAGATTGTGAAAGGTTTCTCTTCACCTTTCAAGTAATCTGCCTAAGAAACAAAGATTCTGTGTTTTATCAAAATAATAGTCTATGCTTCACATTATCTTTATCAGATCTTTAATTACTTAAAAACCTAAGTCTTCTCTATTAAAAGAGCAAAAGCTGTGGGTAGGGGGAGAGGGGTTAAGTTGGGTTAAAATAGGTAACTTTCTGTACTTGCCTACAAAATTCTTGTCATTTTGGTTAAATGGATAACCAAGTATTATTTTACAGTGACCTGTGATCCTATTTAATCAAGTGTTTAAACATCTTTTGATATTCTTGACAAAATTCCCAAAGTAAAATTCTAAATGAAGTCTTTTGACCTCAAACTAATTTGGAGATTTTCCAGAGGGGCCCTGAAACACCCAAAAGATTTGTTCTTTCTCCTTATAAAAAGCGAGACATTAAACTAATTAGGCCTATTTGGTATGTTAAATTTCATGGGAAGCATTGTCAAATAAGATGTAATGCTAAACTTGCTCTAGGCTATACTTGTATGGACATACGTAGTTATACATATTTCAGAAATTATATGAAATTCGTAGATACCTGCTATGTTCTGTATGTTATCACTTGTAAATCTAGTTATTATCTTAAAATGTTGAATGTCAAAGAAATAACCAAATTTCCTTGTCAATTGCATTACCATAAACTTCCAATCTTTAACATGGTGGTTTTTAAGTCTTTTTGTCATTTACAGTGATTTTACTCTGATGTTTTTGCAAAAGTGTTCTTCCAAAAGTGCTTCATCTTCAAGGAGACTTGTAGAAAGGACTCTAACAAGTACAGGTTCTGATACCTCTCAGATCATACCGCTGAACTGGATAATTTACAGAACTCTGTAAAGGTAAAACAAGATTCATAAAGCTGCTATCAAAAGATCAAGATTAACAGGAATTAATTACACTGGACTGAATGAACTGATGAGGATCATTATAATTTCTTACGACTTTTTACTTGAAACATTGTGGTTCTTTAATGTTTTATTTTTTCCAAACTTAAGGAAATCTTTTTTCCTAAGTTGACTATGATTTACAGCAATTTGGTAAAGTGTATCCTTGTAAACAAAAATAAAAAATCTCCCCCACCACCACCCTGATCCCTCCAGAACTCAGAAACTCTTAGTGAGAATTCTTATTTTCATAGTAATATAGTTATTTGCATAAGTTCAGCAAGAATCTGTCCTCCCTGCAACAGGACACAACTGGAAACACTGGAACGTCTACTTGAGAGAAATGTACACAGATTCAATATGACCAGACAGATCTAAGGAACTAAGGTTGACTAATGGAGTCAATAAAGCCCCTTGGAAAAAATCAGCCTGGTAACTTGCTTACAGGGTTCCCAGAAACCTTACCAGATAAGTAAGGAAGGTCACTTCCTGGCAGATGCAGGAATCTCAGGATATTTTGGGGACCTCGAGAAGAAAGGAATTCACCAAGATCTATCAGTATTGCAGGTGAAATCTGATGGTAAGTTCATGGCTTGGCTTCCTTGCCTTCAGAGAGACTTTTATTTAAGAGCCCAATCTGAGATTCCTTGCTCAAAGGTCTAGCAGAGCACACTCAAGAGAGCCCATTTGGTCAATCACTATTCTTGCTGTACTTATAACCGGGCCAGGCTGAATGAGACTAGACTTACTTTGCGAGCAAATTAGCTTTATTTTGATTATCTCTGATGAAAATTGGGGCAAAGGGGTGACTGTAGAGAGAAAAATTATGCTTCAATAGAAAACTATGGTAAATCCTATGGATATCAGATTTTTGTTCTGTTAATTGTCTTTACAGTTTGTTTCCTACCTATAAACTGACTCAATACTGAATTCTTCTCACTTCCTATATCTGGCTACAACTCTACAAACTAACGTTTTCATTTTCTCACTTTTCTGACTTGGAATTATTAGGAACTAAAACTGCCCTTTTCCTGAAGCCATGCAAGCTGAAGTGAGACAACCTGATATAAACGCCAGAGAAATCACCACAGCAGTTCATGCATGAACAATCTTCATGTCTATTGCTGTGTGAGACACTCAGAAAAACCCCTCCCCGGAGATACTCAAACTGCAAATTAGGAAAATCTTTGATTGTCACCATCTATCTCCACACTGGCTGAAGATGCTTTAAGCCCTACAACTATAAATCTCAACTAGCTACCCTCAGGATTCAGACTAGGTTTATAATCTGCCACACAACCTAACCATTGTTTTTCTTTTCTTTCCATAGAAATGCCTCTTATTAAATAGCCTGAATCAGACATCTGCACCATATAGGCCTAATTTTATAAGCACACCCACATCACTGCCTCTTGAAACACAACCCTTAAATTGAACTGACCTATTCTAAGAGAGTAGTTAAATGAGATACGATGCAATCCACCAGCTCAGGATAGGTTCACACCTACTGGCCCAAGATGTTAATCACAGTATTACGCTAACCTCTGAACAGATTCTTAGGGCCCCAAGATCACTGACCTGGTTTCAAGGTGGGGCCCTTTAAGCTTGGAACAATGTCTACAAATTGGATTTCAGACTACTGCTTGTGTAATTATTATAAGGGTGCTACTATAATCCTATTTAGATGTGTACTTCTAGGTTGTAACATGCCTTATCCCTGACTTTTAGCAAATCAGCTACTCAGGCAGTTAATGTCCTCACCATTGACTCCAATGCCTAGCCATCAAGGGTGGTTTGTTGTGTAATCCCTGGCAGGTGGTTTCTCCTTTTTTTTGTAATGTAAGTGCAAGACTTAAGCCTTGATTTCGAGGCATCTACTTCAAAGAGGTACCCCACTTCAGAGCCGGCTATCACAAACATGTTGATAGCCACAGAACTAGGTAAAGACCCAGATGAGGAGAGACCTCTGTTTTTTGGTTGATCTGGCTAACTGACCATCATTTGGGCCACTTATTTTTTCTCTCCCTCCACTTTAAATTTCCACTCTTAAGTTTTAACTTACCAATAAAAAGTAAGCCCACAAAACCCTAGGCCCTCACTGTGGACCCTAATGAAAGCAGAACTTCAGACTCCCCCACCCTGCAATCTCCCTATGTGGCCTCAGGTGTGCCATGTGCATTCCAGAATCTGTGAGTAACAAATTTTTTTTCCCAAAGTTTTCTGATGATTATGGCTGAGGGCATCTTGCAATCATAACAAGAATCACAAGGGCGGGTGCAGTCACAACACTGGTTATTGATAAGCTGAGATCAGCCCGAACCACCTACCCAGCAAAGCAAGCACTCAAGCTAATTTTGAACTGCACCTAAGGATACAAGCTGCATCTGACTCAACCCAACGAACAACCCATTCAAGAGCTCAGCCTTACCACTGTCAAATAAAATCAGCTTTAGCTATGATTTGTGCTACAAAATGGAAAACCCCTCTCGCCCAAAGGTCAGCCACCATAAACCCCATGGATCCAAAGGCAATAAACAGAAGAGGATAAAACAGAGACAAGACAAAGGTCAAATAGGAAGGGACAGGACCAAGTAAACTGTTAAGAGCCAAGAATAATCACGCTACTGTAGCAAGCTCCCAGGCCTAGGAGCCACCTGTCCTCATGACTAGAGAACCAAGGAAATTACTAGCTGTGCCGATAAAAATTTTGCATTAAGCCGGAACAACCTTCCTGTCTCCCTTAACGTAAGTGTTTTAGAATACCCACATAACAGGAACTAATCCCAAATGACACAGCCTAGAAAAGACTGAGACATGTCAATTAAATGTAATTAGTATCCTGGACAGGATCCTGCAACAGAAAAAGAGCA